GTTATAAAAATAAGGATTTAATTTTACAATGTGACGTTTTCAGATTGTAATTTGAATTTAAAAATTTTTACTTTAACAACAAAGTGAAGCTTTGTAAATTTGGAATGAAGGCGCCATTTCTTTTCATCTGAATTATTTCCAATAATATGATGAGTCTTTCTCTCTTAGCCGTCCGCTAAAATCCGCGGGACCGTTAGCCGCCCGCTAAAATGCGTGGGGCCTTTAACCGCCCGCTAAAACGTGTGGGGCCGTTAGCCGCCCGCTAAAACGCGTGGGGCCGTTAGCCGCCCGCTAAAACGCGTGGGGCCGTTAGCCGCCCGCTAAAACGCGTGGGGCCGTTAGCCACTGGTTAGAATGCACAGGGCTGTTAACTGCCCAGCACAACAAGTTGGGCTGTTAGCCGCCCACAATGATGCACAGCGGTATTAGCGGCCCAGCACAACGAGCAGGGCTGTTAGCCACCCACAATGACGCACAGCGGCATTAGCCTGCCAGCATAATGCGCAGGGCCTTTAGCCGCCCAGCATAAGAGCGGGGCCGTTAGCTGCCCAGCATGAGAGGGGCTGTTAGCCACCCACAATGCACAGCGGCATTAGCTAGCCAGCATTATGCATGGGTCCATTAGCCGCCCAGCGTAGTATTTGGGGCTGTTAGCCGCCCAGCATAAAGAGCGGGCCCATAGCTGCCCACAATGACACACAGCGGCATTGGCCGCCCATTGGAACGCGTGGGGCCGTTAGCCGCCCAGGGTAGCACTGGGAGCCGTTAGCCGCCTGCTGTCGGGTTCCTTTTAAAATGAAAAAATAAAATAAAATTTCGTAATACAATATTGTGCAAATATGTAGTTTCTTCTCCCAAGGGTTTGGTAAGAAAAAAAAAAAAAAATTAAAATGAGGTGATGTGTTGTGTTGTTTTTTTCAAGGTCCTGTTTTATACAAACAGAAAATAATATACGACAAAAAACAAACAAAAAAAACCCCAAATACATAACTATAAGCAATACCGCAAGTTATACAGTCAGTCTGTCAGCGTCTTCCTGTTGCTTTGAATGTCAAAGCCCAGGCGGTTGAACCACTGCGTTCTCCTGGAGGCGCCATGTTTTCAGACGCTTTGACTCTACAGAGCAGCTAAAAAAGGAGGAGAGGAGTAACGACGTGGGGGGGCTGATCAACACTGTGGGTTTGGCTCACTGTCTACGTTACAGGAAATAAAATGAACTACTGCTGAAATGTTTTAGTGGTCTACAGCTGTCGAACATCACCAGCCTGAAGCAGCAATGTGGGATTTAGCTTAAACGTTCCTGGTTCTGCTTTGGAGGTTCTTCCAGGTGGGAAACGTCGGATTCCCAGACGCTACGAAGCTTAAACATAGCGCCGCGAAAAAACTGTACGAATCTTTACGAAGGAAATAAACTACTAAACATGATCAAGATGAACGTTCAGAATCCGCGGTCGTTTCTGAAACCGAACAAAAAACGCAAGATTTTCTTTACTGCGACTCATTCCTTGATAGTGTGGTCACCGTGGGCAACGCCAACAATTATTGTATTTACAAAATGTGTTTCAGCTTTTAGTCTCACAAAAGTTCACTTTGCTCAAAATGCGCAACTCTGATTGTGTTTAAAAAAAGGTTTATAGCGTAAAAAAAAACGTTGTTTATGGCAGCTTAAAGTTTCCGACCATAGAAAACTAAATAAAGAAAAACAAAACCCTGTACGTTGGTGAGTCAAATTCAAAGCGGGCTGTTCTGAGTTCAGCGTGAAGTAACTGTCCTTCCGAAGGGACTGAAACGCCGCATGTCCACAATAAAACATGGCGCATTAGCATGAACAGGAGTGGGTGGAGCCTGATCTCAAAGGCGGGAAAACCCGGTCAGCAGAAACCGGTTAGAACCAATCAGATAACGACAGATGTAACTTAAACGGGTTTTTCCAGACCCTTATGCTGCGTTCACACCGAAGGCGTTATGAGCGTCCAAAACGCAGAAATCTGGACTCTGGATCAAACTGGTCCAGTTGCTTTGATGCTTCGATGCTCTGGATGTTTATCTGCTCTGTTCTGTAGCTTCCAGCTATTTGGAAAAATAGTTTTAACATGTTTTTAAGCGATAAAGTCCACCTCCAAACATCCTCTGTTCATCAGTTCATCAGGATTATAATCCCACTATAATCTGCAGTTCTTGTCCTTCTACATAACATTCCATTCTTCCGACTTTATTTAAGCTTTAGAGTTTAACTCCATGATATTTATTTATTTTTCATCTGCAGAAGCGACGACAGACTGCAGGTAGAGTCTGTCTCCTCCAAAAACTCCTGGATAATCTTTTCTGATTGGTTGACGCTCCGGCGTCCAGCGGACACATTTCACTTTACTGAACTCCAGCATCGAACGCCCCGACCCTCCGCTGGACCCCTCGACGCCGTCCTCCATAGACCTTCCATTTAAATCAGACGCTTTGACGCAGAATGCGCCTGTTGTGAACGCAGCAATAGAGCAGCCATGTTTGAGAGATGAATTTTGCTGATTCTGTTTCAAAGAAAGTTAAAACCCAACAACCTTGAAAGTTTTTGTCAATATATTAGAAACAAAATCCTAGACTGTCATTCAAACTTCGCTCTGGGAGGTAGCTTTCTGGACCCGCCTACTGCGCTGTGATTGGTCCGCTCAGTGAGGCGAGCCTGACTTACGCCTTTCTGACCACGCCGGGTGGGAACTGCATGGAAAAGAAAAAAAATCTTTAAAGAAAACCTTCATGAAACACAGCAAATGAATTTAGGTGATAAAAAGGAGGCGGTCTGTTATTGACGGTACGGTAATCAGCTGGAAAACCCGTTTCTGTTTTTTGTTTTTTTAATAAAGCGTCGATTTTAGCCACGATGACCACACTATAACGGAAATACAACTGAACCTACGATTAAATCAAGTTTACTTTGGACTAAAGTTGTTTTTTTTAACAGAATTATTTGTTTAAAATCCTAACAGGCCGTCCAGGTAAACGTCGCTAGATTTGCGTCTACGGCTACGGCTAGCTCTAATCCTAGCTGCCCACTAAGCCGCTAATATTTCCCATCCAGAGTTTGGATTCTCACACCAAGAGGTTCGGCTTCGACACAGAAAGCTTGAGGGACAAAGAAAATACTTCATCTTTTTCTTAGTCAGAAAATGCAAGATACATACAAATGTAAACCTGCAACACATCAAAAAAAAAAATAAAACGTCAGCACTTAGTTTTAATACATCTAACTAAAATACACATTTCCATATTTATTCTTGAGATATTTCGTACACTGCAATAACATTCTTAAACACCTGTTTTTACTCATCTGCCTCGAATTCATTTGTTCTTTTTTTCGTCCGTTCACATATCCCAGGGTTCATCATTTACCATGACGATGCATCTTTTTAAAAGACCGCCTAAAAGATGAGTTTGGGGAATTCCCCCCCCCTCAAAATAGAGAAATATTCATCTTTAAAAAATGATAAAGGCAGCCAGTAAACTGCTGCAGGGAAAACGATAACAGGAGGAGAGTCCTGCTGGGGGAGGGACGTCCCCATCGAACGCGCCGACGCATCCAGAACGCTGAGGCCCGCTGCTGAGGACCTGTTCGTACTCCACAACAATACAGACATTTGCTCCGCCCCTTAAAGCCTGGTTTACGCTCAGAGATCAGGTGGTCTGCGTGTGTCGCAGTTAACGCAGATATGCCCCCATATCTGCGTTAACTGCACCTCTCCTAAATTGTCGGTAACCGCAGACAGGAAAGAAAGGAGGCCTCTGATTGGTCAATTCTGCATCCGCTCTATATTAAGCGTATTTGCTGTTTGGTACCTAATTTATTTATTTTTTTTGCAGCACCAGTGGCCCGTTTTTCTGGCAGTAGACTGATAGGAAAGGGGGGGATGAGAGACATGCGGGAAAAGACCACAGGCCGGATTCAAACCCGGGTCGGACTGTCCTCAGTACATGGGCCGTACGCACTAACCACTGCTCCACCTGCACACCCAAATCGAAAACCTAAATAAGTAATTTTTTCTTAATATAAGTGCATTTGTTCTTGAATTTAGGAGGTTAGTGAGACACTTTGCCAATGGAATAAGACAATTTACATTTAAAATAAGAAAGAACAATTGCATTGTCTTATTTCAAGTGCAAATTGTCTAATTATCTTATTTTAAGAGTAAAAAAATCGAATTCCAACAGCAAATCATCTTATTTACCTGCACAAATTAAGGGTAACTACAGTTAATTGAAGAAATGTTGACTTATTTCTAGATAGTATTTGCAGTGCAGGACGCTAGTTTGTATCTCTGTGCGACGGTCTGTTGGTTCGCACCCGAAGCCAAAACACGCTAGCCTCGTGAGACCATCCTGATCTCGCGAGCTTTCAAGGTTTC